AAACCAACCGGCTTATCTTATTTCAAGATTACCCTTGAATTAAAATCTTTCAATTGTTTTAATAAATAACTTCATAACGCAAGGTATTGCAAATATTTTGTGCATTGTTGAGAGATAACGAATTATGTACTCTGAGAAAAATTTCCATCGGATAAACCAATTAAATATCAGATAAACCAATTAAATTTCGATGGTTAATTTTCCGATTACGTTTTTCGATCAAATTATGGATGCATCCGATGAAATACAGTTACCGCTTAAATTTGATTGAAAAACCGATCATATTTTTCATCGGATGTATAATTTAATTGAATCCGTTTGCTATTATGTAATTGGATTATCCGATTACATTTAATCGGACAATACTGGGAATCTTTTCTTCGCCAGTGATTAGTTGAAATGAAAACGTAATGGGGACAATTATTCGACATATCTCAGTTTTTTGACACGCGATAATTTCATAATGTTCAGATTCCGACTGGTTGGCACTTGTCTGACTTTAAAATGTAATCAAGACGCTTTTCACTCTAAAAGGACCGGAAATCTCGGTCGAAACGTTGTGCAATTCCTTTAATAAAGTATTGCCAGATACGTCGAATAATTTTTTCCATTACGTTTTTATTTAATCGGACATTTCTTTTAGTGTATGTACCAAATAATAATGCAAGCTACATGACAAAAGATTCATCCACTCCTGCACATACAACACGGTACAGCGCGGGAGGTGAATTCTAGTGAAAAATGCAAAATGTATCGCGCTTCTCTACCTCAAAAATTCCATCAAGCAGTGCCGCAAAAATGTCGTGATGTATCTCCTGCTTTCTCCCGCTTTATAATCCAGGCGGAAAATTGCTTTTCCAGACTAACGCGCAATCCGGGCGAAATGGCAAAACTGCATCAAGCCGCGATGCAATGTCGCAAAGAGGCGTGGGAACTTGAGATTATTTTTTTCTCTCTCCTTTTTTCGCGCATCGGGGAAACTTTTATCCTTCCGTGACACGTTGAATACGGCGAAGCCGAGGTTCGCGCTAATCCCCGGAGGGAATGGAAAAGTCGGCGCACGAGTCGACTCGTAACGTGGAATTCAATTTGAGTGAAACGACAAAACTGAGCTGCAGATAGATCGCATCCCTGTCTCTCCTCGAACGTCCGACTCCGCGTGGTCCTACAAAGTTTGCGCCGAATAGGAGGTAGCGCGATTCGAGGGGCGGATATATTTCTCTCGCTGTGTTAGAACTGGCTTCACCGAATTGCCAAGAGAAGGACGTCCCGTCAACCTTTTATTAGGACAGGACCCGGGGGTCCCTCTTATTGGTCATTTTTCGGGCAATGTTGCACATCGGAACTCCCATTCGAATAATACAAGTCGCCTTTCGGCGCGGTACAAAGAAATTTATCCGAATTTCATCTGCTGATTAATGCAAATCGGAGGAATTAATGCGTACGTCTATCATCATAAAATATTTATTAGCCTGTTTGTGTAGAAGCGGTCGGCAATAGCTACATTGTAGCATTTTATACTTTCCGGAATGATTTCGCGTTTAATGCTATACGAATATAAACTATTCTTTGGCAAAATTATTTTGAGATAACAAGAATGCAAGTAGAATGAATACAAATAGAGTACGAGTAGTTCGATCAGTTTCAAGTTGCTGTGAAATATTACGCTTAGCTGATTATTTGCAACAAAGTAACCACTACGTCATCGTAACAGCTTAGATCTTAGGTAATGGAGATTGTCACTGTGGGATACAGTTCTTAAGAAAAAAAAACAAAGAAAACTTTATGTTCGAGGCTCGTGACAAATGGAAGGTTTAACCTTCGCATGCCAGGCGACGTTATTGAAGATAGAAAAAAAATTGAACTTTCGTTGCAACATTTGCGAGATATCGTTCTCGATCGGACTAGTAGTGGACGTGAAATACGACGTTCAACATAAATATTTGAATATTGACACACTGAGAAAAATTTTCATCGGATAAACCAATTAAATAGTATGTCCGATGGTTAATTTTTCCGATTACGTTTTCCGATTAAATTATGGATATATCCGATGAAATTTATCCGATGAAATGCAATTACCGATGAAATTTGATTGAAAAACCGATCAAATTTTTCATCGGATATATCCGTTTGTTATCATGTAATTGGATTATCCGATTATATTTAATCAGACATTTTTCTCAGTGCAGACATATAAATTGATCGAAACGAAAAGAATTAATGAACATTGCATTTGAAGACAAATTACGTCAGTGCTTTTACAATTAATAACAAAGCAATACCTATCAAAGTCTTTGAAGCATGTCAAATACTCACACTGAGAAAAATGTCCGATTAAATACAATCGGATAATTCAATTACATAATAACAAACGGATATATCCAATTAAATTGTATATCTGATGAAAAATAAGATCGGTTTTTCAATCAAATTTTATCGGTAACTGCATTTCATCGGATGTATCCATAATTTAATCGGAAAAATTAACCACCGGAAACACTATTTAATAGATTTATCCAATGAAAAATTTTCTCAGTGCACAAATAAGTATGTAAACCTAATATAATCTATTCAATATAACTAAATTTATTTCAAAATTATTCATTGCAATTAATATTCCCGAGAGTTTGTGAATTAGAAACCATGTGTATCCCAGTGAGAAATGATTCGTCGATCGACGTTGAAACGACGTCGAATCGACATCGACACCGTCGAATTGACGTCGATTCGACATCAGTTCGACGTCGATCGACGAATCATTTCTCACTGGGATGTGGTACAAACCATTTAGATAATTATAATTATCAATTTCGATCTCCCATGAAGTCACTCAACATAATTATCACTTGTACTTGTAGTATATACATACATATATGTACGTAATTATCGTTTTGATGATCACTGCACTATTGTGTAATTATCTGATCCTTATTTAAAAACATAAAACTCCACTTCATTTATGAATTACTCAATACGGTGACTCAAGCAATGACGAAACAAAATCACTATATGAAACGTCTATTAAGTTTTTTTTTTTTTTAAACAGATTATCATGAAAGTTCAAGTCTTTTTATATAAATATAAATGTTTATATATATTTAATTTGATTTACTCTATAAGAGTCAGTCAGAATCACCACTAAAAATAGTGAATCCACCGATTAGCTTCGAGAGAGTATGTAGCTGCAAATGATGGCTTCACAATATTACTCACATGCTAGCGTGACAACATAATTACCTAATATAAATTATTAGTTATCTATGAGCAATAGGAAAACTTCAAATGACGTCGTATCCAAGTGTTACATCATTACTCGTCGCAGTATCACACACAACTGGGGATACGAGTGAAACTAGGGCAGGATCAGAAGACAGCGACAAAGGTTTCTAATTTTTTTTTTGTATCAGTCGAAGGGTCAGACTTTTCAAGCGCTCCGCCGTTCTTGCCGTTGGAAAAACATCGGATGTGGCTTGGACCCCCTTTTTTTTCTTTGAAAAGTTGGACACTCGACTCAATGGTTGGCACTATAGTTAGTAAAAAATATTTTTACCATATTTCACTAAATATCCGAACTACGTGCTTTTGAGTCATTCAAACTCGTTGTTGTACAAAAAATAATACATTTGAACAATTTAATCGGAAATTATTGTTTAAAATTCGAAACTTAAATAAAACATTGGAAAAATGATTGAATTGTCGAAATTAGGCGAATATTATAATTTTTTTATACTTTCATTTCGCGCGCGCGCGTTCAAGCATTCTTTACCTTAATAAATTGAAATATCTTTTGTCCAACAGAACTTTTTCAATTACTATCGTTTTACTGTCAAAAAGATTCTAAAGATTTTCCGTATCTTTGGATTTATTAATTATTGTATCTCTCTGAATTTCCATTACTCTGTTGCATTCTTAAGTTAAATAAACATATATTGGGTAAATATAGAATGGAAGTTAATTTTTTCGTAAACTACAGATAATCTATTGTGTTGTATGCGTACTTAATACTTACCGATAAATTTTCAATTAGAAGTCCTTTTCGACAAATCCTATAAAATCCTAGAATATAATAATAATCCTATGACTAAAAGAGTTTTATTTAATCCTATATTTTATTTGACAAAGTCTAAGTATGTCCATATTATGTATTAATTTAAATATCTTACACAGTTTACACAATCTTACGTAATAATTAATTTAATATCCAGTTTTTAAATATTGAAATGAATTTTAATAACTCTAAAGTACTCGTTACTATTATACTTTTATAGTATTTAAACAAAACATAATATGCAAAAATGTGCTTTGTACTTAAATGACTTGCCTATATTAGATACAATCTGGATCCGCAATGTTTACTAAAAATTTGCATACAATTAATGTTCTAATTGCATACAACAGCTATTTAAAATACAAATATGTAAATTATATAAAATATACACATCCTGTTCTACTAAATAATTGTATGCTACAAGAATTAGTCAAATTAAAAATATCAAAGCAGCCTATAATTATATTTGAATAGTTTTCAAGAATTTTCAATTTAAAATTATTACCAAGAATTATAAAAATTTGATATGTAATTGTGTGGATACAACAGAAATATTTACTTCGTAAAATACATTGTAAACAACTATTTAAACGAAATTTTGATTAACCATTGTATATTCTTGTTTGACGGAAGGAAACTTCATACTTTTTTTCTGCAATTACTTTGGCACTAATATAACATATTTTATTATTGCACTTCGATACAGGAATAATCTTGTAATTTTATTTACAAGTAGCATATAATTTCTACCTTACGGACATATCTTAATATCATACAAATACAATTAAAATGTGAATGGATAAATGTAGGAATGGAAAAAATTGAATAAAATGCACACATTTTGAAAAAATATGTTTAAAAATAACGGAAACAATTTGCATTTACTGCATTTCATACTTTTCTCTCAAGTCCTAGACATGTCAATAAAAAGTAATAAGGTCGCAGTTTAAACACTTTTTCAACTCTTAAAAAAATGTTTAATTTTAATTTTAAATAAATTAAAAATTTTCGTGGATTAAATAGCATTACGTATTGATAAACACATTAGGCAATAAATAGAACGCGTAATGAATTCTTAAAAATAACATTTTATCGGAGAGAAATTACAGATACTCAAGAAAATATTCTGTAATATTATGCTTCGATATGTTGACATATTAACAGATGTAATTTTTGCGTCATTTTATTACTTTTATCCGTAATGCATTTAAAGCCACAAAAATTTGTAAAATAAAAAATTGTTTAAACTCGCAAAAATAATATTTTATAAGGAAACAATGTAAATATAGAATTATTATGCAAGTTTTGCTAACATGTTGAATAAAGAACTATAATAATTGCATGACTCACTATTGACAGTGTCGAAATATTATACAAAATTAAAAATTTTGCAATATCCTGAGTGCTTTTAAATAAACTATATCATACCTCTAACTTTTTCAGGATATGGAAAATTATAATTTCATAGTACATAAAATGTCAGCTTACATGAAAGCAAATTTACATTATATTTTAATGTACGTCTGTTAAAATGTATTATAAAAGGATTGCAAAAATATTTTTCTTCATTATTTTTGCGTGCATAATGGGTTGAACATAACTAATTTTGTAAAAAACCGTGACGATTTATTTGTAATATTTTGTTATATGTTTTTGTTATATGCGATATAAGGATGGAGATTTTTTAACGGAATATTAAACAATTAATATTTACGCATATAATTTACAAATACAGCGCATGATAATATACAATATGAAGTGACAAATCAAGAGAAAGATGATTAATGTGTGAAGAGCAATATTGGACAACATAAACGGTACATGTGTGATTTTTACACTTATTTCATGTATCGGTAATAACTTGGTGCGTTATAGTTTTGTTATCGTCTATATAAAAATAACAGAAAAATATTTTAGCAATTAAGTCACAAAAAAATATTTAAAAACATTTTTATATAAAACAATTTCTTTTAAATAAAAAGGTGCTTTTCTCACAAGCATCCCACTTTCCTTTTCCAGCACCTCAACGACACAACATATAACTTTAGTTTTAGATTACTCATTCTACGAATTTTTCAGACTATCGGTCAAAAATTAGTACAATCTAAAGCGTTAGGAAATTTTTACGAATTAGAAAACATAAAATTTCCGTTTGTGTGTTAAGAGAGCGGAAATTTCTCTACAAATTGGGCACCGTAAAAACTTGTGGGTCGGAAAATCAAGTCAGTATTTAGAGCGGACAAAGATAATAATGTGTATTTACTTCCTTTCCCCGTTCCTCTACTGTGTCCGTGTGAGCGTGTGTGTAGATTATTGTAATAATGTTATTATTATAGGTTGATAGGTACATACAAAACAACACACAATAAAAACAATAACATAATATTAACGTGACGCTCACAATAATAATCATAATAATATTAATAATAATATAATATAATATAATAATAATCTTAAGAATTTTTTTTAATAGTCATAATAAACATCATCAGTGGTATATTTAATAACTAATTACAATCGACTTGCGGCAAAGCTTCGGACGGCACGGTAAACGCAACAGGATCGCTGCCGTCCGGTCGAAATTTCCCATTTAATAATTTCACTTGAAATTACCTCGTTATCATTTATATTGTATTATATTATCGCCGTTACATAATTAACCGTTACAGTACCGTGGCAGAACTATACAGTTTTCCGGAACTCAGTCTCTCACGAGTTCAAATTCACTCTATACGGATCCACGTCCTATCGTCGCGCTGTCTCTACGCTTCCTCTCGACTCAGCCGCATTTATCTGTGTACCATCGTTCGCAGCTATCTCGTACGCTTAAGAATTTTCAATTCACGGTTATATCCTGTTTTCATTTCTCTCATCTTCTCTCTATCTCTCTCTCTCTCTCTTGCATCCCGATTTATCCACCTCTCTTTCCCTTATCTCTTTCTCTCTCTCTCTCTTGCTCCCTCTCTTTTCCTATCGATTCTTCCAGTGCAAAGCGCGCGTCCACTTTTCATTTTGTACCACAAAACATACATTCGTATCCACAGCCGTGTGACACGTTCGTACACCACAAATGCTCAAATGAAACAAATGCTCTTGCTTACAGAAAACATACGTACATATATGTGCACGAATACATATTTTACACGCATACATATATATACGTACACGCCCCATCCGAACACACGCATGCATACACATACACAAAATACATGTATATAATATATTGTAGCCATTCACACGGACTCGGCGGTCCTTTGTAATTTAGATAAGTTGCACCTTAGAATAGAGATCCAGTGGGATAGTTCCTTTTTCATTTAACATCTCTGATTAGATTACCTACTTACTCGCTGATGTTCTGTTGAAAATTGTATTCCGGCCGCGCTTAGGACTTCGTTCATACGAGATCGATTTTCTTTTACTACGTTCGCTTCTCGTCGTGAAAGACATGAGCACGGAGGGGAGGAGGGGGGGCCTTAAACAAAAGATGTAGAACGACCGGAAGACGTCCGTCAGGTGACATATCCATTGGATATATTTACAGAGATCAATACTTGTGACAGTCACTGAACGCAAAAAAATACACGCGTATACATATATATATTAATCATTATCAATGATTATGTATATGTAATGATTGATAATTATTAATCAACAAATACTTTCCTCTTAGAGATTTTTAAGTCTAGCCGAAAGCGTAAAATATCATCAATAAGAGAACATACCCGCGATTCAATTATATTTAATCGATTTTTAATATTAAAACTTAACGAATGTCGATTTTAGGATATCGATCGATATCACGTTCAGTTTTTGTCCAATACTTGGGATACCCAATGGTAATGAAGTATTATTATAAAGTACGAAAAATTTAGAAAAATTTTCGGCGCTGGGTTTTTAGCAACGTAAGCCAAAAAGCCCTGTTTATCACGTGTTATCGATTATTATCATATAAATAACGCAATTGTACGCTGTCGCGTCAGCAAGTGGTAAAGTTTAGAGCGTTAAGTACCACAACCTTTTGTTCCTTTCACGGCAAGAATTTCGCCCGCGCGCGGAGATGAAAATACTGAGAGCGTACGATTTTGACCCTGCGTAACACCATAATTTTTGTGAACATCCCAAACTCAGCCTAGAACGGCACAATCGACCACTAATCTGGCTACTAGGTATATGTTTAACATAAATCGTTTTTCTTCGATATTAGTTTAAGAATTATAGGTACTAATTTGCGATCCTTGGTAGGCGATTAGTACGACATTGTGGACGTAGCTACCTAAATTTTCGGATAAGCCTACACCGACTTCAAAATTTACCACACACTTCGTTTTCGTCACGACAGGCAAATAATCGAACGGCAAGAAAAGAAGGCATTTATCTCACAAACTACCTTTGACTTTCCGTTTTGAATCGAGAATCGTCACTATTAATAACATAATGTTCCGACGAACGTGGACTACGCTGCAAGTTTGGTTAGATCGTTTATCGACGATAATTGACATTTAAATATTACCGGGAACAAACACTTGACGCGAGTCCACATGTCAATTTTATGATCCACGCTTCGTTAACGTTTTAAGAAAATAATATTCAAGAAAACAGATATAAGAGCGTTAAATGACGAGTAATAATAAACCCTTTGCTAGTACTAGCCTTTAGTATTATCTAGTTGTACGTGGGTAGTCGACAAGATTTGCAAGGTCTTCAATGCGATCGTATATAACCCATACCGAAGTGAAAAGTTAATTTAAAGAGCGATACACATGCACTTACGCGAGATCAGTGAGTCCACTTACCCCTAAGAGCGACCCATCCGCTTTACAACTTGCGATTCTCGACGGACCGTCCAGCCCTAACTGCAAAATCAATGGTGTTTGATTGAATCAGCGCCGGGTGTAACTGCAACGATACGTTCCAATCTCCAAATGTGCGACCCGGGCCCAACAATAGACAGGGATGTAAGACAGAGTTAAACATACGGCGCGACTGGAGGAGGAAAGAGGAGGCTCTGGGCGGTGGGAGGAATAGGGGTACACTAAGTGACATTAATTACCTCTTTACTTTATGTCTATATATATATATAACTGGAGAAAATACTACCGAATTACGAATTGGACAGATTGCTTGGTGTCGCCTGATGACGCATACTATTCGTGGAGTAGCGGCACCCGACACCGACACTCGAAAAGAGTCTTCGGACCGCTTGAAATAGTGGCCCCAAACGCGCCCTTTCTATACAGTAGCGAGGTCTTCGCCCGATTGAATAATAATAATATATAATTAATAATTAATAATATAATTAATAATTAATATACTACGCGCGAGCTTTTTCTTTCCTTAGTAGAAGCAGTCTTTGAACGGCTGCTCGACAGAGTCCATGAGTGTTTTTTGTTTTTTTCATCGAATTCCCGTGGACGTGGATATTGATCGACGGTTTAGTGGGATCACCTCAGTTCTACCCGAGGCGTCTCGATGGGTTTTTCTCTGGGGCGTTCGGTGCGTTCAGGCGGCCAAGCCATGAGGCGTTTGGTGTAGGAGAGCGGGATACTGTTGAGCCACGTGCGCCAGCTGATGATGATGGCTGCCGGAGTGTGCGTGCGTATGTGTGTGTGGATGGACTACGGCCGTGGCGGGCGTTATGGTGCCCGACGACGACGACGACACGTGAATCGGCGGTAGCGGCGTCTGGGACTGCGGTGCGTGGAGGCTATGGCTGTGACCTGCTACCAGGCTGCTATGGCTGCCCCCGTGGCTGCCACCGCTGCTGGACGAGGTATGGCTGTGATGATGATGCCCGAATACGACCCCAGAGAAGGCCACGGGTCACTGATGATGCTTCGTGGAGCCGTTCGCGTGATGCGCCTGCGCGACCACGTGGTGACTCGAGGGTGGTGCGTGCGCGGTGCTCGGGTGGTGATGACTGCCGGTCGCCGCGTGGTGATTCGCATTGTTGGCGCTGCTGCTATTGTTGTTGTTGTTATTCTGCGTTTGGGTCTGCCGCTGGCTGTTCTTCTTGTTCTTCATCCGACGGTTTTGAAACCAGATCTTGACTTGGCGCTCGGTCAGATTCAGGTTACGCGCGAGCTCCCATCGCTTCTGCTTCGATACGTAAGCGTTGAAGAGGAACTCCTTCTCCAGCTCGAGGGTTTGGAACTTGGAGTAAGGTTTGCGTTTCTTCCGCACCGTCACCTGGCCCGTCCACTCCAGGGGGTTGGAGCCGCCGCACCCGACGCCCATCCCGGCTACGCCAACCCCGACACCCACGCCCGCAAGCGAACCTGCGGGAAACAAGGAGGATGGGGAGGAACCCCACATCACTTAACACAATTAGTTTGTCGATGATAAAACAACCTAGCTGCTAGCTAGTAATATTCGGTAAGGAAATTCTGTCTCAAAGACAGGGACGACTACCAATTTGCAAAGTGGGTCTCGGTGTCACTTGTGCTTTCGATTTTGCAAGTTTCGCCGTAGCTTCATTCACGTTAGATTATAAGATTACAATCGATAATCGAAATGCATAAATCAAATAAAACGAATGTCACAGATACTGTGACGTTTATTACTGCTCGTAGACTAGTTCCTAGTCGTTGGTACACTCGAGCGGATTTTGAATGAAGAAAGTGGTTGTGCCTGTTCCTTTTTCTTACAGTCGCCGCCATTCGTTACTACGAAGTGGCTGGCAGAAATGAGCGCAAATACATCGGTTCGTTAGTTGGCGCACCGGCGCGTAACCGATACCGTTACTCTTTCTTTTTTAATAAACGTTCCGTAATCGTTCATTATAAATAACATTCTGCCATCTAGATCGCATAATAAATTAATAAAAGTAGACTGTGTTTATTTAACGCGATTTATCGTCTCGCGTATATACGCATATTAGTCCCGGAAAATTGCCGGTCTGACTAACGTACTCGCTATCGCGATTCTAGAAAAATTGCGAGCTTTAAAAAAAGAGAGAAGAAAGAGGCGGATATCTAGTAATAATTACATTCAATTAAAATGTCCGGATCGCCGCTAATTACGAACGCGGGAACGCAGCTACACGTATTAATTCCTGGTAAGATTTGTTCTCGTTTTACGTAACGAACGGCATTATTTCGTCAGCCGAGGATTATTTGAAAAAGTGCATTGCCCAGAATTTCCATATCAAAAGTGACGACTCGGCGTCCACTCGTTCCCATTTTTTTCGCGCGTTCGGGTTCCGTACGGGAAGCTAGAACCGCGTAGGGCGCGTCAGCGACTAAATCCGTGCCTGATGCAACTCTCCGAATGTCAAAGCGTGCACTCCAGCTGCATGTGCGTGCGCAACGTTATTCGACCATACACACGCGTATACGTACACGTGTACAACATGCGCACGAGGGTTGCCGTGGTCGTTCCTGGCACAGTGGTATGATATAATTGGACCGGTTCTACTAACCGCACGAAAAACATGAAGCCGGAGTTAGCGCGCAACCGTTGTTAGGCTCGTTCTCTCTAGAGCGTCTCGGCTGGCCGGTGGTCTTTAACAGGGCACACTATGCTCCGTTGCAAACCCAGAATGTGGAGCGACGCGAATGCATTTGTTAAAGCGGAATATACGATGGGATGGTGCAAGGTACACGCGGCGAAGCCGCGCCGGTGGAATGAAGCGATTACGAAAGCTCGCGACTCATCCGTCTATCTTTAACCCAGCCACGGACTGGATAAGCGTCTTGGTGTACGCAAAATGCAACAACATTATTTCTATTCGCCGAGTTGTGCGTTTGGCGATACTTCACACTTGTCGCGCGTTTAGAAGAAGGGGTTGTTTCTCGGAGCTGGCTACACTTTGCATTGTACAAGATGCCAACTGCTCTCTCATCGTTGCGATTAAATATAAAATGAATAATTTGATAACAAGAATCTCGGCCGACAAGACTTTTTTTAAGGATTAGAAGGCATCGGGTCGTCTATCTTTAGCCTATCTTAGCCTATCTGGGAAGATACTACTGCCGGGTACAACATTGTTTGATCCGTCGGAACATGTGCGTGCCGCGGGCGCCATTCGCGCAACATTATAATATCTTGGATGTCATGCAGATATCTTTATGTATCCCGGTTGACAGTTCTCTAGATTTATTGCTATTAAAGCTATAATTTCTCTCTTACAGCTTAAGCCGTAAAACAAAAACGCATAAACGCAAGTCACTTAACGTGCAAATTATTAAAATTGATATCTCAAATATCTTCCTCGATAAAATACGCGTCTGCGCAAACGAAGAATTTCCCTCCGCGAGAGCTCTTTACCCCAGTTGAGTTCTCAAATTTTCCTCTATTTTCCGTCCACGAGACCTTTCTCTTTTGATATGCTCTCTTGTTGCCTCGGTGCGATTGCTTAAGCGATAAGAATGTATTACGCGTCGAAACGTAAAAAATGTCTAGCGAAGGTCAATACTCCCGCTAAAATGTAAAAATTATTTAACAAAGGTTAGAATTCCCGCAAATGGTATAAGACGAAGATAGAGGGCATATATTAATGTGCAAATTAATGACGTATTGCTAAACATCAGATCTAGTGTCGCGAAAATTTCGGAATAAATATTCCGGCTAAAAGGTATGGACGTATTAAGAGCTCGCGTTTCAAAATAATTCACAACTAACTACCAGTCAATCTCATACAAATGTGTATGTCCTCAATCCTTTACCCTAGTTTAGTTTAATTTCTTCTCCAAATCAATATTCTTCTCCAAATTGATCTTACACATCTCGTCAAAAGAGTATTTTTGACATTTATTATAACGCATAAAACATTGAGAAATTAAAAGATATCATTTATATCTAGAGTTAAAAAAACGTATAACCTAAGATATAAAATTGAAACAATTATAACACCTACGAAATGAACAACAAAAAGGACGATATATTAAAAAATTGTGAAAAACATTCGGTGGACCGTTCAGAAATTGTAGCAAGTCTGCCGAACTGATAGAAATAGTCGAAGGGTTCATAACCGGGGGTTGTCGCGTGAAACGGGAGTGCAATATCGATTGGAAGCATTCGACATCCTTCCACGTCCTATTTTTATCCTATTTTCATTATTAACTTGCGTGAGTTGGCACATGTAGTATACAAATTAGATACAAATTAAGGAGCTCGATAAATATTTCAACATTTTTAAAAACGTAATATATGTACATATTCAACTTCTCACCCCAAGTACCTACCGAGTGACGTAACGGGAATACTTGAATGACTAATTATACAATGATACGGAATTAATTATACAATTCATTCAATTTACATTTAAATATGCAGAAGATTAGAACCAACAAATAAATAGTGAAAAACCGTTATCTCTATTTTTTTTAGCAACGTGTTTCATCTCAAAGAATCGCAACGTACACAGTAAAAAATAAAATGTTAACGTTAACAGTTTTTACATGTTCCAAAGAGTCCACTCTAAATTTTACGTTAAAATAATATTTATCGCGCGTGTTACTTTTTGACAAATTATAAATGTTAATTAATCAACGCTATACTTCACATTTATGTTTATGTTCTTCCAACCTTAAGTGTGATGTAATAAAAACGGACAGGATAAGTGAAATGTACGAATAGCTACAAATCAGAATAGTTGAAATAATTTTTAAGAAATGTCGATATTACATGTTTCGGTTGACTTTGTGAAACAGTTGTGTTAAAAAAAACTCAAAATAATATTAAAATTTTAAATAACACACATAAAGTTATTACGTTAACATAAATATAACACATAAAAATGTTACGAAGATAATAACATATATGTTTTATGTTAATTTTACATTAAAGTAAGAATCAAATACTTGCTAACACAAGAAAATTTTAACACTTGAGCACACGATTTTTTTACTGCGTAAAATGTAAATAAATAAATGAATACAAATCTAAATTCTTTCAGATAAAAAGTAAATTAATCTCGCGCGGCTTAGAATTTTACTATTCGTACAAAACGACGGACGGGCCACGTTTCCCGGTGAAACCGGCGGGCTTGATAAAGTCATACTTTATGCTAAATTTATTCTGGCCCGTGATATAAGTGCGCATAATGATGACCGGTAGGCCTCAAAGGCTTAATTAAGCGCGGACGTCAATCCGCGGGTAATAAACGCGGACCGATAAACGTCCCGGCGAGCCGCGTTCTCCCGACGACGTCGGAGATAATATCTCACGGGAGAGATCGACTTGCGTCGGAGACACCTGGCCGCTGACATTGTCCCCCGAGATCGCTCGGACTTAGGGCCACGGCACGCGGGAAAACTCGAGCGGCAAGACCTTGAGACGTAAGGGAAGCGCCCGGTCGCGGTCGACGACGTAAGCGTACACTTTCAAACTCAAGCAACGCTGAAAATTCCGTCGAAATTCTTATTGTCCCGCGTTCCAGGCCGATATTCGCAGTCGGATCTCATACTTAGGACCGCCCTTATCTTGGGACGTTGAAACATTTTTCATTAGCAACGTCTAGTGTTTCCTTGACCACACCTGGCATCTTTAATAATACAGAAAATTTATTGCGGAAAAAACATTACCTCAGCCAGGGTTTGAACCTGGACCTTCCTACACTCTAGGCGGGCGTCTCGTCAATTCGACCACCGAGGCATGTGATAATATTCGTCGCAATAACAGTATAAAGATGTTGTCTACGCGTATACTTTCGACTTTCGTGAACCGCGCGCCGATAAGGGTTGTCGGCCGTACTGTCGAATACGCGATTTTTAAGTTTTCCCTCTCCCCCTCCCCCCCTTTTCCAATTGCGTGGGATATTTCGTTAGCTACGGAGTGCCTGAAGATGATCTTGAGGCGACCTTAAATATAAGACCTGACCAGGGTGGGGAAAGTTACTTTATAAAAGTATCTAGTTACAGTTTCTTCGCTAAAAATGTAACTGGTTACAGTTACAAGTTACCAATTATGAAAAGTAACGCGTTACAGTTACTTAAAAAGTAACGAATCGTTACTCTGCAGTTACTTTCTTGCAATGAAAATAAAAATGTTAAATCTGCATTTGAATTGTAAAGCGTTGGATAAAGGCGTTTACGCGTAAGTGCAAGGCCTGATGCAATCTGTGGAGGTTTAAAAAATATATAAAGTAACTATTAAATTAGTTACTAGTTATCGAGAACTTGTGAGTTAAGTTACAGTTACAGATGGAGAGAGAGTAACGAAGTTAAAAGTTAGAGTTACAAAAAAAAAGTAACTGTACTGTAACTTCGTTACAAGTAACGAGTTACTTCCCAAGCCCGGAGCTGACTGCAAATATCACTCCTGGGCGAGTTTTCCCGCGTGCCACCGGCCTTAATCTGGGAATTCGGCGCGAATGGTGCCAGCGGCGCACTCTCTGGTGCCGAGCGAACGGGCAGAGATAATGGAGCCGCCATCTATTGGGCTACGCTTAAACTATACGCGGGGGCCCCGTACGTCTCGCACATTTCGTATGTGCGGCACGCTCGCTCGCTTGCGCGCGCACACGCACGCACTCCTTCCTCCCCTCCACCCCGCCGCCCCGCGCGCGCATACGATTAGCCGCGACGGCCGATCACGCGAACGTTATCTCGGTTATCGGAGCGTCGTCGATGGCGCTCGCACCGGCAACAAAGTACACGATAAGCCGCCAGCGAGCGGCGGGCGATTTTCAGAGGGACGCCGGCGACACGATCGATGAGAGATACGCGCCTTCTCTCTTCGCGCACCTGATATGAAATTCAAATATTTCCACGCGAAAGGAACGCCGGACTGCCGCGACGTAATTACGCCGGGTGTAATTTACAATCCGCGGTGTATCGATTGTATCGTGAGCGAGAGACGTATGAATTAACGCAACTCTGGAAACGCCAGAGGTATTTCATTACCGCGGTGATTTACGCTATCGCGATACGCCCGGGTGGACGTTTGAGAAAAATAAAAACCCGGGAGAGGATCAACGACACATTTTGCAAGGCGCGCATTTTAAGTCCGCCGAACGGTACCTCCCGTTCCCGCGAGCGCGACGATTCCGTCGCGGTTTCCCGCGAAGGCGGACGCGCATCGCTCGCGGGGCAAAGCGGGTCGCATCTGGTGCGCCGATCTTCCGCGAGGGAACGTCGGGGGACGTGGTGAAAAAAAAAAACAAAACATTATCGTCCGAGAGCAGGGCAATGGGGAAGATAGCCCCGGCGACAATACGAGCGCGCGAAACAGCCGTTAGCCGGAAAGACCGAACGCCTGCACGGGTCATGGAACGGATCAGCTGATCGGAGGCGCGCGCCAGAGTTTACGAGTTACGGCCGCCAATAAACCCGCCGCCGTTCGTTGTTGCTCATGCGACGTTTCATGGGTTGCAGGGTCCCGCAGAAAAGGACGGGAGAAGGGACGAAGGACAAAAGAGGAGAGAAACGGTGTGAATGAACGATGACCGCGGTCGTCGCTCGTGCCGAATAGGCTCGCCGCGGAGTACCCCCCCTTCCCTCCCCCTCCCTCTCCCACCCCCCCCGAGACGCCCATTTTAGGAAGTCACGTGCGATTAGTGTAAATTACCCGGCGGATCTCTTTGTCGCGGCGCGCGCCACGCGCGTCGCGCCGCGCGCGCGAAGAAACGTCTTGGTCTTCCCCGGGCCGGGGAATTAATTGCGAATATCGCTCGACGGGGCTGTCGTCGGTTTCAGCCCTTCGGGCATTACGTCGATTTACGGCAACTTGGGCGGACTTGCCGCGTCACGAATAGCGGACGAGCGATTCTGATAAATGAATTTTGTCCCGCGCGGACGAAAGAGCGAACACGGCGAAGGTATACCGTTAGGAAACGTTAAAATAAAATGTTCTTTCGTCGCGCGTATAAAGCTTAAAGAAGCCGCAGAGCAGGGGGTCGGTTGTTAGAATAGGGAAAGAGAGCAGGCTGCTGCCCCCGGCAGGTCGGAGTAGATGCTTACCTGGAGGTGGGTAGGGGCTGGAAGTAACAGGCTCGGGCGCCCCGTAGTTTCTCAGGCCGCCGTATCCGTCGTGGGGAAAGGCACCTTCCGCGGCGACCATAGCGGCAGCGACCCTGCCGCGGTCGTCCGCCGCGGATGGCGCCAGATACGGTACCCCCGCCTGCGAGTGAGGATGATGGTGGCCGGCCGTGTCGACCGGGTGGTGATGCCTCGCCGTCGTGTACGGGGCGTAGTTGCACCAGCTCTGGGAGAAGCTCTGGTGGCAGGAGGAGACGGCCGGGTCGGCGGCGCCGGTGGCACCGGTGCTGGAGCCACCGGTGCTCGACGTCGTGGTGGCCGCGCCGGCCGAGTTGTAGGACTTGTAGTCCGAGGTAGAGCCGGCGGTGCTGGCCGAGCCCGCGGTGGCGGCCGCTGGCGACCAGAAGAGGCCGGCCTTCCGGTTGTCCCTGGAGGAGCCGGAGGTGGAGGTGGGATCGGCCGCCAGGTTGTAGTACGTGGGGGGATTGTTACCCCCGTAGGCCTGATGATGGTTCAACGACTCGCCCGGCGTGGACGAGTAGTGGGAGTCCTGGGGATGGTGCGGGCTGTAGCTCCAGCCGGCCTGGGAGCCGGCCGAGTGCGAGTGCCGTATGACGCCCGCCGCGCCCGCCGCGCCCGACGACTCGACGCAGACCTCCCCGTAGGTGGTACCACCGCCTCCCGGGGTCGCCGTCAACCTCTTGGCGGGTATGTGAAGTGGCCCGGCCGCGCTGTTGCTCGCCACCGAGGAGGCGCTCGGCGAGGTCGAACTGGCGCTCGCCGTGGGCGCCGGTGGCGCTGTCGTTGCCGATGAGACCGGTGCACCAGGTGAGGTCGGCGTGGTCGCTTGCTGGTGGGAACCCGGCGTCGAGGTCGCCTGCTGCTGGTGCTGCTGAATCGATACGAGGGCCGAGGCGGTTGGTGGAACTGGCGGCGGGCTGTCCTCGTAGAGGGAACCGTTCATCATGGCCCACCAGGTCACCCCGGTGGAATTCCCCGCTCCGGTTGCTGTCCCCATCGGCGTGACGGAGCCAGGGTGGCCCACGCCGGAGCCACATAGCGGCGCGGCGTGAACATTATCGTACAGCGTCGCCGTCGAGCAAGCCACGTGATCGGCGATGGTGCAGATGATGACGGTTTATTGCCGGTGTTACAACGATATTTGTGCCGAGCGGCGATGGTCCCGGGTCACCGCCGCGCGGGTTCGGTAGTCGAATCGCGGATCCGAGCGAGACGGCGGTGGTCGACCGGTGCAGGAGGTTCACCCCGTGCGCGAGAGTCGTCGCGTGGTCATCGCGATAAGCGTAGAGGCGGGTACGCGGATCAGCTCGGTGTTTCGGCCGAGACGTACGAGTCCAGCGCGTCACCGAGAGTCGACACACGTCCGTGGATCCTCAGCGAGGAGCGAGAAACGGAGCGCTCATCGCGATCGAGCCGGCCCGCGTTGGCCCGTCAATTCACGGAGTAAATAAAGAAAGCGCGTGCGGAAGGTGGCGGAGGCGCGGTGGCGGCGAGCGGAGGCGGGTGGGGATAAGGAAAATCGTGCGGGTACGCGCGTCGCGCGTCCGACCGGGGGTTGGCGGCGAGGGGGAGAGGGTGTGCAGCGCCGCGGCAGACAGGTGGAGGGGTAGATAAGCGTGGGACAGGATAGAGACGGAGGCGCGATAAAGTGCGTGGCAAATCCGCGGACGAGAGCGGTCCACGCGCGGCGCGACGACGACGACGACGGCGGCGTTGACGGCGTTGACGATGTTGACGACGTCGACGAGTAGGATGATGGATGTGACAGCAGCGAGCGGGCCACGTGCGAAGCGTTGACGTAGGGTCGTACAGCAGTCGGTCCAACGATGTCGGAGCAAGGGTTGAAACAGAAGCAGAAAGACACAACGCGATTTAGCGAGAGTGCGTCTCGTCCGGATTGCGGTAACTCGCGGTAAGGTCGCCGCAACGCGCGCGCCTCGAGACGGAAACGTTGAAGGCCGGAGCGGCGTAATCTGACGCGAGCCTACGACACCACCAGCCTTACGACACTTGGCAATCGTCGGGTCTCTCTAGCTCACTGCGCGACTGGCCGCGCTACGATCGTCCCGTGGCCTACCGTGCACGAGCCACACGTCGCCCCGTCTCTGGCATCGGCGGCCGCTGCCATCCCCATCGCGAGGGGGTGATTCCGAGCGCGATTCATCAAACGTTCCACGCTCGCGCGAATTCAACTTGGCGATCTATCCGACCACGAGGCTCACTAACGGAGACTCGAGCATTAGAACCCGGAGGGTCGTCGCGAGAGTCGACCGATGAGAGGAAGACGGTCCCAGCGGTCGCAGCGGAATCCCTTTTATCTTTTTCTTTCTCTCTCTCTCCTTCTCTCTTTTTTTCTGTGTTTCGTCTTTGGGTCAGTCAGGTCAGTAGGTAGAACCACCCCTTGGTATTAAGCGTAATGTGGCCGAAGGACTCCCGGCAGGTAGCGGAACGCCTTTTCGGTCCCGAGGATCGTGCGTCGATACACACACGCACGATGCCCACACACATATGGAATAACCCCCTTTCTTCTTGCTGGCCTCGCTGAGCCGAACTGAGCGTCAACTGAGCGCTCTGCTCGCGGCTCGGAGTCGAACGGGCCGAGAGCAACGCGAGCGCGATCTCTCGGATCGTTTAGCAAGCGTAGCCCGGACTCGTCTCCCACCCTCCTCAGCGCGATCGCTTCTCCCGTCTCCCTCTCTCACCCTCTCTCTTTCTCTCACGCGCGCGTCTCTCGGCGCCTTCTCCCCCCAACCCCCTACCACGCGCGCGCTCTAATCTGCTTTTCTTCCTCTTCTCTTCGTCGCAGGCCAGCGAGCGCGACATACCCGACTATCTTACGGAGAGGCTGCTCCTCTCCGGCTCTCGACGAGTACCGAGAGTCTCAATACCCGCCGGCTTTTTCTCGAGAACCCGGCTCGCGGCGAAAGAAGGGAAAAAGAACGAGACGGTTACGAACTAAAGACCGCGTGGACGACGACGAACCGATAGTAATTACTTCCAGTTACTTAATAGGAAACTGTACCTGCTTGAATACCGTTACCGATGGTCTTCTATTCAACAAATCTTACGCCACTGAATCGACAGATTTGAATTCTTTCCATTTTTAATACCGAACCGTGTGATTATGTGTCACTAAAGCATATTTTATCCGCGATCCAAGAACTGTGCCCAAGTTCTAGTTCTCGAGAAATGTGTAGCCAATAAACTTGCAGCTTTTTCATAAAAGATGCAGGTCGATTGGCTACACATTTCTCGGAACTAGAACTTGGACATGGTTCTCGGATCGTGGACGCAAGGCTTAAGGGGACAGTTAGAAGAAGGCAAAGGATGAATTGAAACTAAAGTCAACGGCACACGATACTACTTTTCCTCCTGCGTTGCTTACGAGAGCCAATAAGGATGCAGAGTTTTAGATCAGGTGACTTAAAGCTAGATCCTGATTGGCTCTCGTAAACAATCCAGTCGGAAGAACAGTATCGCGCGCCGTTGGCTTTAAACGTTGGTGAAAACCGCGGTTAGTCTATGACAAAACTTGAGTCTACGTTAAAGTGACAAGGTTTCAAAAAATCTTTGATAAAGTTGAAGCTAAATTTTTCGCATCCGATATATCGTACGCACAATCTCCTCGTATTAGTCGCGATTTGTGGCAATTAAAAAGCTACAAACGCGATTAGGTAATGATCCCCATCTTCGGATGTAATACACTCCAATCAGCCGATTCTTTCTATTAGCATTGGTAATATTTTTTCTTAATAATAGCAGTGGATAATGGCCGACCTTGTCTCGGCCGGTATCTTTATCGCTATAATTTGGTCACGGTTATAATTATATTTAACAGTTTCATTTTACGGTTATCGTTATATTAGCGTTCGCAGGTGTATTACGTTTATCGGGGACCGGTTTGTTAATTTCAGATAAACTCCTTCATAAGTGACTTTTCCGCGATATTTTTATATTACGCGCTGCTCCTAATTAAAAGTCGCCCCTTCCCTCCTTCTAAGCGCGCCCATTTCACCTTTCCTCTCAGCTTCTTCGTTCATTCGTAAGAGCCATAAATTCCCCAATCACGACCGCCCAACGAATCCAACCGACTATCGAAACTCATTAGAAATGCATCCGAACTTCGCGCGCCCTCCCCCCCCCCCCACCTCCCACGAAACGTCACGTGGTTGCTGAAATGCCCTCGTGGATCACGCCTGGCGGCAGCCGGAGAGCCAGCCTTGATGGTGTGCACGTACGTATACACGCAACGCGAGCAATACGTCATGGCAGTATTGCAGTCTAAATCTCGGTACTTTTATGGGCAGTAAAGTAAAACGGTCTGACAACAACTCCGGTAGCACACACGCTTTCCATCTGTCCGTCCATCAGTGTCGTGCGCCATCAGACTGCGTTACTCACGAGAGAATCTCGCTAATGATCGCGTATCGGTAATCAGAAGGTCAAAAGTCCCGAATTTTTGTTCCAAGAATTTTCCCGCGGCAAGATTTCAAATCGGAGGGGGAAAAGTCGCGATGGCAAAGTTTCCGATTGGACGCACTCGAACCTTCTGCTGTGATAAACGCGATTGTTGCAAATAATTAAATAATGAATGAAATTATATGTTTCATAAATAAATAAATAACTTCAAAATTTATGCAGAACAAATCTCGTTACTGTTTTAAATAAAACTACTTCAGTGGCAATGAAGGGATCCAAGTGTCCCAGGTTTTGGATCTAATTTACAAAGTAAAAATTCAAAACGGCCATTTCTCTCTTCGAACGAAACGAAATGAAAATATTCCCTTCTATTTCTCTACTAAGAACAATCGCAATGTCCAAATGTGTACTTTTGAAAAATGCACCTTAAGGCCTACGTTTGCGATGCTAGAACTTGGTCCAAGTTCTAGTCCCGAGAAATGTGTAGCCAATCAACTTTCAGCTTTTATGGGACAGCTGCAAGTTGATTGGCTACACCTTTCTCAAAACTAGAACTTGGACCAAGTTCTAGCACCGTGGACACAGGCTTTTACAAACGTACCAGCGAGTATTACGATTTTCGCTATGGCTCGAGCTGATCACGTGACGAATGGGGGGGGGAGGGATTCTAATATGACGCCCGGGCGAAAACAGGGTCGATTGGTCTGTCAGCGGCGGGGCAGACAATAGGACGATTTCGAGTCGCGATCATGTCGGTACACGTGTACTAAGTAGGAAACACACAACTCGCGCTTGAATACGAGTGCAATAAATCGCGCGGGAGGCGCGAGCCACCCGACGTTTGTTGTACAGGCGACGTGATCATGAATGGACTTTATAGCAGCCCGCCCATTTATAGGTGGTATGCGCGCGGTTTAGTAGCTACGGGCTTAGCGCGACGCGGTTGTATACAATCTTCTGTTTACTGCAAGTACGTACCTAGGAAATGGATGGGTTTACGGCCAGATTTTCATTCGGGCTTTCGAAGCTCGATGTCATTCACTAAATTAATTAACCAGCGGAGACGCGGAAAAAGCCCTTGCCGTACGACACGTATGTTTGTAAATGCGATTTCTTTTGCGTGCACGCCTGTTGCAGTCGCGCCGACTAATTGCCAAGTGCCGTCAGTGGTGTCTTCGACTTTGTATGTACATCGAAATTTGATAACTCACGTAGCATATGTCACGGTGTACAACAGATACTGTGAACGCTGTGCAGGTACATATAAATATTTTGCAGCAATTGCAACGTTGCTGTCTTTGGTTTTAAAAATTTATTAAGTTTATTTAAATTTGAAATAAAAATTATTTAGACACTAACAGCCTCCCCCATGAAAAAATATATTTAAAAATATAGGTACACATATTACATATATTTCAAAATATATGTGTTATATAAATTGCATATATGTATAATATATGTATAAATATTATACTTTTTCATGGGGGCTGCCGCGACTCTTTTAGCCTTTATTCCTTCGAATTTCTGTTTGCCACACGAGAGCCTTATAAATTTTATTAATTAAAAAAAAATTATATTTCCGCACATTTCAATCGGCATTAAATCGAAATTGTAAAATAATTGGAATACTATGAGATAGAATGTATTTTTTACTTGAAATCAAATTAACGCCATGGAAAGTAAAAGAGTAAATACAAATTGGAATAAATGTTATGTAACTCACCTTGTATACCGGGCAGCGTTCCGGGGAACACGCGGGAAAGCCTGCAATGTTAAATCGCGATTAGAAACTCCGCGCAAAATTCGTAGCTTCAGGTATGTAAAACATATACAATGAAAGATCCGTGAATGTAAAATATCGCGGTTTCAGTGCGTACATGTATTTTTCATCGAATTATGAATAATTCAATTTCGCTATCTTTAAGTATATTGGTGAACGCGAACGTAAATAATAATGGAAGGCTGTAAACAATTTGGTGAAGACGAACCTGCTGCTCAGCTCGAACGGGTGAAACGTCTTCTCCACGGCGCCGTACACTTTGAGGCCTTTTATTTACAAGTCCGAGAGGAAAAACGTCAGCCTGCAAAGGAAAAACCGGAAGCGCAAATTAAATGGTCTGTTGGTTGATAACTGCCCTTTATAACGGGTCGTGTCACCATGAGTTTTATACGGCTTTTAGTAGCTTCTATCACGGCAGGTATAAAGTTCTCTACCTTGTACAACCATTAATGCGACGCCGTTCCATAACGAAACCTCACTTCGCTCTATACCTTCTACACTCGGGGACTTGGCTTCACCGAACCACTTAAAAACGTTCATTACCCATCTTATAGTGAAATAAATGTGAAATAAATTACTCGACTAGGGAACAACTTGATACTCCAGAAACATTTCTCCATTGTGCAAACCTCGACAGTTAATTGAAAAATTCAGCTTGTACCATGTGTGTACTAATGTTTACCGATGTTTACATCTTGATTGAAATATTTGACCAGATCAATATCACGAGCGTTAAGAAATTAAAGCCGCCACGCAAATCGACTGATTCCTTTCGCTCGCACTGTTAGAAGTAGATCTATCACACATGTGTGAATATTAACACGTCACACACTTGAAATGCGTGAATATTAATGCGTCACACATATTTAATGCATAATTTTCCAAACGTCATGCATTATCCTCTTAACATGCGCGTGTGAAATACATTAGAGAATGTGTGGAAATCACACACTTCAATGTGTGGATTTTATCAAACATCTAATACTGTTTGAAATAGTCAAACATCGTAATATTCACACATGTGTAATATTTCTATACGTTTGAATATAAAACACTTTGGGAAAATTCTCACACACTCAGTATAGTAACGCACTTACTAGTCACACACTGATCAGTCACATACTGCAACTACCCCAGACAATATCGTGCGAAATCAGTGCTCGTTGCAGATATCCTACCGTGTGTTATCCCATCCGTTTTGTGCTTCGGACGATCGTGAATAAAGTGCCTTCAAGTCTAGACTGTGTCCTATTGCTAACATCTCGGAAACCTCGTTCTTCCTCTTTATTTCTGATTCATGCTCTTTCCGCTAACCTCCCGTTTCCCTAACCTAACCTAACCTCCCACTTGGATCGCATCATATAATGTAATTAGTTGTTTTAAACGGCAAGAAACGTGTAAAAAGTGCTTTCACCAAATTACATATGTGTATAATAGTAAAACACTTGGATTTGCAATGTAGTGCAATCTTTTTTACACATTTATTGGCACCTTGAAAATTACACACCTAAATAAGTTATACACCTTCATTTGTGTGAAAAGTCACACACGCCAATAAAATCAAACATCCATTCGTGTATGAAAAAGTCACACACTTACAGACGTCTTGAAACGGCGGACACACATCACATGCGATAAAGTGTGTGATATTCACACACTGCTTCTAACAGTCTCGGTTTTACGCAATTTCTGGTTTCTGTGCCTAAACGCTCAATCTGGTCTAGAAAGGGCGCTTGAGCAGAAAATCCAGAAATTGCGTAAAATCGAGGTACGACCTTGCGAAAGAGATCAGTCGAAATGTCGCAGTTAAATCAATCGCGATCTCCTCAAGACAGAAAATTCAATTCGCACGTACGAATTTCGATCTACCATGGCTCGAATGCTAGAGCTCGTGTCGAAAATAGGAAAGTTATAGAAATGTTCTCTGGAGAAATCTGCCAAAGTCGAATCGCCGAGAGAGACTTTATATCGACGCCTGGAATGAAAGCTGCGAATGAGAAGTAGCGGATACCAAACGCGAGAGAGGCAGACATTGTCTCGCGTGATGACTGATGGAAATTCACTTAACTTATATTAAAACTACTCTTTCGATCTTACGTTTAATGTAAGATATTACCAATTAACCAATGTAGAAAAATTGTTAAACGACGCTAACTGGCAAATTCTAATTAAAGAAATTTATTGCGAAAAATACCACCTCAGCCAGAGTTTAAACCTGGACCTCCCTACACTCCAGGCGGGCGTCTCGCCAATTCGACCACTGAGGCACGTGGTAATATTTATCGCAATAAACAGTATTAATGATGACACCTACGCGTTTATTATATTTCTACATTGGTCAATCGTGTACTGGCGTCAAATAATTCTTTACGTTATTACCAATTAAGTTCATGTATTCCAATTTTCTGAGATTTATCTTTCTGTGCAAAATGATAATTCGCGTTCATTCTATTTATCATTTTCCAATACATTTTTAATATTTTTATAATACCGTTGTCAATGATACACTGAGAAAATTTTCACCGGATAAACTAATTAAATAGTGTGTCCGATGGTTAATTTTTTCGATTACGTTTTCCGATTAAATTATGGATACATCCGATGAAATTTATCCGATGAAATTTTATTGAAAACTCGATCACATTTTTCATCGGTCATACAATTTAATCGAATATATCCGTTTGTTATTATGTAATCGGATTATCCGATTACATTTAATCGGGCATTTTTCTCAGTGTATGATTAAATATTAAATTCCCGACAAGACTGTGCTCCGCGCTCGAAAATATATTTATACAAACACAGACGTCTGCCGCAACAATAAAGACTGCTTAGCCTCTCTCTAAACGTCACAAACGGGCAAAAAGTTTCGTTTTCCCGGTCAAGGGAGAAATGATGCCGGCGAAATGTGGGCAGGACGTGCTACGTGGACGGGGATATTACTTTTAAGGTTGAACAATAAAGGGACGGCGGAAGGTCGAGAAACGCGTTTGGCAAACTCGGCCTGTGCAAACCGGAGGAGATTGGTCGAGGGCGCACAACAATCGGAGAGAGAGACACGAGAAAGCTCTCGGTTCCCTGCCATTCCTTTTGCCACCAAGGGGGTGACGTTACTCGCTTGCCTACACTAACACGCACGCGTGAAGCATTTGGGAGAACTGGCTCATTTATCACTCAACGTTATCCATTGCCTTCCAAGCGTATACTTGCCCGTGAAATCAAATCAAAACTTGATGATTCTCATGATTCTCGCGCGATTACACGCCATTTTCAATAGATTGGACGCAAGGGATTTTTCAACCAAGACCAAGCGATAAATATTGATGAATGGAAGTAAAATTAACTCGTACTCCAAGTTAATAGTAATGGAGAAAATATATAATTCGCTTTACGTAAAAAAAATGCATATTTTGTAATATAGATAAAGGATATTGAGTTTTATCCGAAGATGAAATTAACATCGTAATGAACTGCAAGCGCGTTGTGCGTCATTGGCTTGTAGTAATAAAAATAAACGTTTTTAATGAGAGTCTCTCCGCAGGCAAGGAAAGTAATTTGAGAAGTTCATATGCCCTCCGCCACTTCGTGGTAACGCGGCAGACACAATGATGCACTATGTGAGTCTCTCCAGAATTTTTATTATCTCTAGCGCCTCTTATCTCTCCCTCCATTTCTGGCTTCAAGTTGAGATGAGGTTTCGCTGCATCCACAGCACCCGACGTTTAAACGACACCTCAACCGTCCTCGATATTTCAGCACCTTTAAGTCCGATCTAAAAACGCGTCGTTCGAAATAAAAAAAAAAAGCTGCAAATAAGAGTAGTTTCTTTCAAGCGAATACATTCAATTTGGCGAGGCGTCGTTTTAATATTCCCAACTTTTTGCACAGTGAAAAAAGTTTTTACTAATCTCCGCCGCTTTTTCTCTCTCGCCCTGCTTCTTATTACGTTGACAGGCAGCAACCCTAAGCGAGACATGGCGGAAAGATTTAATTTCTCCGAGATGATTAAAAAAATTCAACCCTTCCACACAATAAAGAAATCTCAATTCCCACCGGGCGGTGGAATTGAAATATAGTGTTTAGGGTGCTGCTATTTCGAGAACGATTCGCTGGGAGCTTAAGTCGCAACGTAGAATTACACGTAAATAACAATAGTCCATCCCCAGTAGTACAATATGCATATTGGCGCAATATTGGGAACCAATGTAAATCTAGTATTCTCAATATTGGCCCAGTATTGTAAGATGGTCGCCTTTTCTTTTTTAGCCAATATGTCTACTTAGCAATATTGGTCTAATATATTGCATCAATATTAGACCAATATTGTCATTACATTGTTAAACATTAACCAGTGCACTTCTAATACAAAGCTAATATTATTATAATAATAATAATTATTATTGTGCAATACTTAATTTTATTTCATGGCCAATATTGACTTTGCGTTGAACAATATCGGCCAATGCATTTCTAATATAACCAACATTGGGCCAATATTTAGGCAATGTTTAGCCAACGCGCTGTGCTACACCCGAGTCATAATTTTATTTGCCATTCAAATGCGCGCGCGTTATTTTGTCAATCCAAGCGCTTTGCCTTCAAGATGAAAAGGTCCCGCTCTAATTAAGACATACGTCGTCTCTCATTTTCGGCGTACGTGTTAAATACACAGACGTTGAAACTGCGTCCGGTGCGCGGAGGGACGGTAGCTCGCATAGGGCGGGGAGGGTCGTGGGGCGCAGGGGGGGGGGGGTTTGGAAGAGCCGGAATATCGCGTCTCATAACCGGGTGACGCGACGCGTGCCAGTTCCAGCGGGGCGTCGAGACGCCTTTCGGCGCTTCAATGCTGCCGGCACCGGGACGCCCTCTCGTTTCGGAGGCAGACGCTATGGCCGGGCGACCAATCCCGGCCGGCGGTTCGTGGAGCGCTTCCAATATGGCAGTGGCGTGCGCCCAGCGGGACGAGGGACCTGGGCGCGCTATGTCTGACGAAAGCGACAAGTGGAGTAGAGCTACTCCACTTTTCGAGCCGCTTTGTTAACTTCCACGTGTTGTACGCGATGCGAACCATCGATTAGTCGATCCCGATGAATCTCGGTAGACATTTCCCCATTCGTTCCGCGGTGCTCCTTCAAAATGAACGGCACGTGCTGTATTTATTTGCGCCAAAGCGATTCACTTGGCGACGATCGAAACGCGAACTGACACGTACATTCCCTTCGACTTCGTTAACGTAACAATTATTCATAAGCGTTACGTTGCGCGATTGTATATGCAAATTCCACGTAACACCTCTCGAGA